GCAATTTAAAAGAGCCTAAGTCGACTTAGGCCCTTTTGATTTGTAGGTGACAATGTTTTAAAAAGTTAAAAAATATCACTACTTTTTTCCTTTTCTCTTTTTCCTTTTTTAAGGACCATACCGCCTGTCAAAACATTTAACCATGCTAGATAAATTTGGAAGTGAGGAATCTATCCCTTTACAATACTATATTATTATAATGCTCACAAACCTATAAGTATAAAACTTTAGTTACTCTAGTCTAGGTTAGTATAGTATACATTGATAAAATACTTTAAATCATGGCTTGTCACTTTATCGCTGTTCACTTTCAGAAAACGTTCACATGCTCGAGGTAAACCACTAAACAATAATTTGCTCTTTTCAGAACTGACAGCCTCGTGTGATAAGTCTTTGATGAGCGAGGACAACTCTCTGAGGAAGTTCAAGCTGTAATCTTGAGAATGATCAAGGTAGGAGATGATAATTTCGATTATCAGTGCTGACATAGTCGAACATGATCCTTGAAGGTCTGGATTTTCCCCAAACAAAGAAGTATTAAATTTGGCGATATGAGAGCATATGAGTTCCGGGTATTTGTCAATCATTGTCCATGTTGCCCTCAGAACATCTATAAACGTTTCATTATACAAAATCTCAAGATTTTCCTCAGTTTTCAATGGATGTGACGAAAAGAACTTTTTTTTGCCCGAAATTCTTAACGATATCCATAAACCAGTAACATTCCAAACCAAAGTTTTAGCAAAAAAGGTTGGATCAATATCATCTAAAACATAGGCAGCAGCCTTCCTTAGGATAACTGCAATTTGGTTTCCCAGGCGCTGTCCATTAGCATCAGTGTATTCACAATTGCGCTGCTGCTTTTTAGCCAGGGCCGGTAAAAAGTCGAGTAATTTCTCCATAAGAGCCCTGCTATCCATCAAATCATTCATACCAAGTATTGTATAAACAAGCTGATGTGTTGCCACTGCATCTGTGTCCTCGATAAAAATAATGGCTTTTCCGATCCCAGGAACAAAACCACATTCTTCAAAATCACGCAGAGCTGAGTCGATTCGATTGCATCCCTCATCTTTGATATGCACTAAATTTCTCACAACAATCAATAACAGTCTTCTTATGTTGTACTTTAATTTTTCATCAAATTCTTCCTGTAAAATCAATTCTATGCACAGGGGTATACCAGGTAAGATTTGGCTGATGTCTTCCAGAGAAATACGGTGTTGTGAGTCAGGTTCTGGAGAGAAGCAAGCCATAATCATTCCCCAAACAAGAAATCTTCCGATTGAATCACCATGAAATATCTTAGCATTCTGGATTAATAGAGCAATAAACCCTGAGGCTCTGAGTTGACTGAAGTCCTCTTCTTTGAACAATCCACTGTCTTCAATGAGAAAGCAAGTTAGCAATAATGATTTTCTCAGAAAATCAATAGAATGTTTCTGAGAATCTATTAATAATGGAAAGTATCGTTTCAAGCAACGAAAATCTTCGTAAATAATGGAATCTTTATGGTACATTATATTCAGCATATGAATTATACCAGTCATTCTTTCATAATGCATCTTTTTCGAGCGCAGTTCAACAGCCAAATGTGATGTTAATTGTTTAAATAGTTTTTCTCTTACAAATAATTCACGATCTTTTTCATCATATTCTCTCATGTTCCATAGTGCTTTTTGAAATGCAATGTCATCTTTTGCAATTGTGGTTAAATTTTTGATTACTAATTGATTCAAAACCCGTCGTTCAGCATCAAGTCCATCATTAGGTTTTTCGTGGACAGTATTCTGATCACATTGACTTATCAAAGAAAAATTATGAACCATTCCGATTATGATAAACTCCACAAACTCACAATCATAGTTCATTAGATCACTGATTAGCATGAACAACTTGAAAACTGTTCCATCCTTTATATGGGACCTCACCATGGACTTACAGTAATTAATGTCACAGTCGTCGGTCAAATATGATGTGAACATGAAATAGATTGACGTATAAAGTCGTTTGTTCTTGCACATTTCCAACCTTTCTACAGTTTTAAAAATAGCCGGAAGATTAGAAAAAATGTCACTTTTCCATTTGATGCTTCGTTCGAAAAACCTTGTATTCTTGAAATCTGATAGCATGAAAAAATTCAATAAAGAAACAGCAGTTTGTATAATACTATTATCATCATCGCGATAAAGTGTAGGAAGATGTAGTAGGATTGACCAAATTGCACCGTTTTCCATCATGCAACCAGTTAACATCGAATTATTATCCCTGCTGCCAATAAAGAACAAAATGTTCACTGCCATTTTTGGAATAGATTGTGCTTTATTCATGAAAACCGCATAATGCTCTTCGTTTCTCAGTTTCAAAAGGTCACATATTGAAATGATCGTAGATTGGTCCTTGCAAAGCACTTTTAAAAACTCTGAAATGTAAATTATCAGGTACTGTATACTATTTAATAAATAAATGATTAAAAGAACCAATTTTAAATTTGCCATATTATGGTAGCCTTTAGGTTCAAAAATATACCCATAGAGCTCACTTAAAAACAAATCTAAATCAGTAGGCTGTCACTCTATTAATGCTGGAGACCAGTGTCCATACAAAACTTTTACTAGGTTGCCATTTGGTGTGAGCAATAGCGAACAGCACGCACACTCCTTTGCCCCGTCAACCTATATAATCTAATCTATTCAAAGAGTGACAGCCATACTACACATTGAATTAGGATTCCATTAAATATCAAATTGATTTATTGTAAACTTGTTTATTCTGTAATTATAAATGGCATAAAATTGAAATTTTTAGTTTACTGAAATTTTTGTTTTAAAACTGATTATAATCAGAATGATTAATATTATTATATGATCGAATATTATTCGAAAACTATTCGAAACTTTATGTTCGTTTGTTTGACCGCCCATGTGCAAATTGAATGAGAAATAAGAAGTTGCATAATAATGCAGCTGGAAACGTGCACACGTGCATGCACAAAGATTAAGGAACGACATCGTGATCGGTTTTGCTGTCATAATATTATGTTGTGTGGAGTATTTTACATTTTGAAGTGCTGTATCCATAGATCCAATGGATCCTTAGCTACTCCCTAGACTAGGTGACACTGGGATTTGAACCCTGGACTCCTGGACCTTCTGCTCAGAAGGCGGATGCTCTAACCACTAGGCAACCGAGGTAATACTAACAGGCACGGCAGTCATGACCAGAGGCACGTAGTGTGCTTAGAGGGTGTGCCAAGATACGTGACAACTCCTGAGGCACTTCAGGCACGTCTCCAGTCTCCAGAACACTATTTATTATTTACAGGGGCTATATGTCATGACCTTTGGAGTCCCAGAAAAAAGTTAAACCTTCATTCGAATAGGGTGTGGTAACCTCATGACGCTTTTTAACTTTTTAAACAAATTTTCAATTATATTGTTGATTATTTTGTATGCTATCGAATTGTTCTTACTCACAAAGTGAAGATCGTGACGGGCATATCTGGTAGAAAAATTAATGGACCAACTGAATAGGTTTTTTGGTGGAGTTTTGCCTTGAAAGTTTTAACACAGATTCTGGAGCACACGACTTGAGAAGTTTCAAGCCGTTAAATGAAGCTTCACGAGCAGAAGTTCGAGCTGTTAAATCACCTCCATAACATTAAGAGCTCATTCCCCGAACTACCCTTCTTTGCCAAAACACTGCGTTACAAAGTATCCAGTCAGGACATACTTTACCCTGTCGAAAACGTCCGAGATCTTGGAGTTATGGTTTCAAGTGATCTTAGCTGGTCGACACACATCGGCAACATGGTACCCAAAGCGAGGAGCACGCTATCTTGGGTATTCAGTGAGATCAAAACTCGCGACAAGACCGTAATGACTACTCTCTACAAGTCACTAGTAAGAAGCTTACTGGAGTATTGCTACCCACTCTGGAGCCCTACCAAGGTGACTGAAATACAGCTGATAGAGGGGATGCAAAGAACTTTCACCAGTCGTATTGGCGGTCTTCAACATCTCAACTACTGGGAAAGACTCGCACAGCTTAAATAGATGTCTCTACAGCGCAGACGGGAGAGGTATATCATCCTCACATCCTGATGATGTGGAAGATTCTCCATAATGTGGTACCAAACTGCTGTGATATCAAGTTCAAGGTGACACCAAGACAAGGTGATGTAGCTGTTATACCCTCATTGTCAAAGTCAAGTTCCTTACGAAACCAGTCACTACACGACAGGTCTTTTGCAGTTCAAGGACCGAAGCTGTGGAACAAAGTGCCTCACACAGTAAAGGCTGATTCATCCTTTGACATATTTAAGTGTAGTTTGTCGAACTTTCTTGCTTTGATACCGGACAACCCTCCGGTTGCCGGCTACAGCTGCAGTTGGTCAAACTCACTGGTTGACTACTCGCCATCCAGGTGATCAGATATCTGATGACCCTTCCGGCTCCACGGATGAACTCAACGAAGTAACGAAGTAACGAAGTAAGTAAATCCGAGGTTAGTTATGAACAAAAGTAATTTGTTTTCCTTTTTTGGGACACCCTGTGAAATGAATCCAGAAATTATTAACAATTTCTTACCTTTTTCATTAGCTAAAAATGACCAGAGTTCGTGGCCAGAAGGAAACAATGAGTAATACTCGCTAAAGCTGCGACCTTGTTGGTCGTTTCGCTTGATTCGTTGAGCTGCTGAATAGCATTATAGAGACCTTCCATTAATTGCTTAATATCTTCAGAAATTGCATCCAGAAGTTCTCCCGAGCTGATCCCTAAAATGTGGGTCCTTCTTTCACGAAACTCATTTCACTGTTAGCTAACCTGTAAGTTTATCATAAAACATTTTTTTGGGTGATTTATTCAGAGATTAACATCAATTATTTTAATAATTATAATATGAGACTTCGATATTGTATATTATGATATAATAATTATAATATATATCGAATTCTCATATTATTTCCTGAATAGCTGAATGAATGGCCAGCATTTGTTGGAATAACCATGATTCCATTATGAAAATAAAATGATGTCTAGGGTAGTGAAATCAGTTTTGACTTTCCGAGCTGGTCATTTAAGAATTTAACAACGGTATAATAATAATATAGTTTTTAACTTTTGTTATTAATTTATCAACTTCTGTATAACTGATCAGCACCCTATTTAGTTACAGCAAAATGTTTTTTTTCAATAATAGAATAAAGTGATGGGCATGATTATTGTAAAATCGAGTTTAGATAATATTATAGCAAAAACGAATGAATCATAAAAAATGTAAAACAATCAGATTAACTTAGGTAAAACTATTCTCGTATCATAATGTGAATCATCAAAAAATTTAATAAGGGGAATAAGAGATCAACGTCATAAAATATAAAGATAATAAACCTATAAATAAACTTTTAAAAGTTAGAAATTGAAACAAATTTAATTGTGCTATTACTTAACCAAATATTTAAAATCATTTAAAAATTTAATGGTAATTGATCGTATCAAAACCAAAGATTTTATTATACCAAGAAGTCGCAGAACTTTAGTAACAAAGAGGCACGTTGAGTGTGCACTTGGCTGCATAAAGATGTTTTATCTCTGAATCAAGTTAAATAGGTCATTAGGCCTCAAGTCACAAATTTCCCTCATACACACATTATAATATAAAATATGGGTGTGCCGTGTGGTCCCCTAGGGCTAGGATTAGCAACTCAAAATGTCAACTTAAGTGATTTTAAATTTAATTGTTGAAAATGAAAACTTGAAATCTATCACATGCATTATTCATAACTCATTTTATTCAAACAGAATTTTAGGAACCAATCAATTCTTTGATTATGAGCAAGGTTAATGGTTAAACAGTATGAGTGTCGTTAAAAATGTACCAATTAATCAAGAATATAGCCGTCACACAGTACACCCTGGTTTACATCAATGAAATACATCAAATTCTCCACAAACACCTTGTTGCTGTTAACATCCAGAAACCGTTTACAGGCCGGCATCAAGTCACGAAACAAAACTTTGTTTTCCTCAGAACTAACTGAATCATGAGACAAGTCTTTAACAAATGCAGTCAGCTCTATCAAAAAAGACAGGCTCTTATTCTGTGAATGGTCGAGGTAGGAAATGATTGTTTTTATGATTCTTGTAGAGGTCAGAGCTGTTATATCTTTGTCAGGAGGATGGGCTATAAACAAGAGATTGGGTACAGCAGGTAGTTTATCATTAACTACTTCTGGATACTTACCAATTAAACACCAAGTTGCTCGAAGAGTGTCAATGAAGGATTCGTCGCACAAGTCCAGCTGTTCAAAATTCTCCTCAGTTTCAAAACAGTCCGACGAGAAGAACATCCTATCTCCAAATATTCTAAAGTTTGTCCAGCCAGCTATCACTTGATCAGCGATTACATCCTCGACAAAGGCGGGATCAAGATAATCCAAAACATATGCTGCAGCCTTCTTCATTATTGAAACACACACTGACATAAATGCTGTTGACTGCTCGAATGAATCACCAACCTCCAAAAAGCGGTGCTGTTTTTCCGCTATTTCAGGTAACAAATCAACCAATTCTTTCATGAATTCTCTATTGTCAAATAATTGTTCAAATCTATCCAGGACATACATGAGTTGGAATATGATTGCTGAAATGTCAGTCCGAATGAGACCTTGGCAAACGCCGGACACAAAATTAGACTTTTTGAGATAATCTAATTGTGGCCTGATAGAACAGGTTCGGTCTTCTTTAATGCGTGACAAGTTTGTCACAAGAAACCCACATATTGGAGTAACAGAATGAAGTGATATAAGCTCATCTTTACCTGTAAGGACATCCATACACAGAGGAATAACAGGTAGGATCTGATCAATCTCTTCCAGCGTCAACCTGCAGGTCAAATGTTGGGGAGCAATGCACCACATCAATAACGTCATAGCTAACTGTTCTACCATAGGATTCTTACCGTGATATACTTTTACTGTCTCCACTAGCAAAGCAAGTATGTTCGCTGATTTGAGTTGAGTAAAATGTTCATCTTTGAGTAGATTTTCACTTGTTATAATGTTCGATGCCAACAATATTCGATTTTGAAGAAATGGAGCTGGTATAGCAGTATGCTTTTTACAGTCCACCATACTAGGTAGATGTGGTAGGATAACACGGACATCTTTCAGTGACATAGGATCTTGATTTTGGATGATAGTTGAAGACGGCCCCACAGCAATAAGGCACATGATTATGTCAGTCAGTTTAGAAGAATCAGCATTTCTAGAGCTTAGCTCAGACACAAATACGGCAGACATCTTTTTGAAAACTTTGTTTTCGGTGAAGAATCGAATATCCTCCTTGTCACCGAGCCTCACCAACTTCCTAATCGTGCACGCCGTAATTCTCAATGCAGAGCCTGAAAGGTCTTTGGACAAAGTTGGAAAATGTTTGATTGCCATTCGATTTAATAATCGCATCTCGACTTGCTGCAGTTTATATCTGTATGGCGTATATTCAACACAAGTCGATATGTAAGAGAATGCTCTAATCAGAAGATTTATGTACATGTCAATGAACTGTCTGTCGTGACTCATATCACAAAACATTTTAGTGAACCTAAACAATGTACCATCTTCCAAAAGAGACTTAACGGTTGATTTGTAGTACTGCCATTCTTCAGTATTCAAGTAGTTTATGAAAAGCTCTGTTGCTCTTCTCACCAACAGAGTTTTGAAATTAGCTTTTTCAGCAATATCTATGAAAATAGCCATCTTTGAAAATATAGCATCCTTTATAAATATACTCCTCTCTGAATAAGCAGAGGATTTAAAGTTGCAGCGAATAACCCGACCAAGAATCATAAAAGTCCAAAATTGGGGGTCTTCTTCTTTTAGCTCAGGAGCGATCTGCAGGAGCTTAGGAATGAACCCATTATCTATTAAACGTCCATTGAACCTAGAGCCCTGAAGATTCCATGAAATGAAGTAAATGGTTGCCAGCAACCAGTGAATTCGTTTGTCACCGTCATTAGGGTCTCTGATATGTTCTTCCTCTAGGAACTCACACAGCGTGTCAACGATCTTTAGGTCCTTCTCCAAGACTTTCAAAAATACTGAAAATCAAGGTCTACATTAAAGATTGAAAAATATGCATTGTTTCAAACTTGCATGGTTACTGAAAATTGGATACAATTTAGTATCTACCGCAGCCCAATCACGACTGTACAATATCATATTTATCTATGGCATACCTAGCAAATCAACAATGACCATGCAAAAGTTGAATAGCTGAACAGCTTATTTATCATTAGGATTTTATGAACCCACCTTTCCGAGCCGCCTCGTGAGGGGGACTCTCAGGAAAAGTAGAAGGATCTAAACTAGTACATATTGTGGAGAGACCATCCAACTTGCTATTCATAGATACTCCGTTATTGAATTTACGGATCGCTCGATGTAAATCTGTCATCACAACTCCTGATTATTTTAAGTTATTTCAAATGATCGTTAGGTTACTTTATAAATTATCTTATACATAAAATTAATTTAATGCAATTAACCAAGAACGTTGTCACGCAATAAACAATTAATTGGCAGCTAACACGATGATAAAATGATATTGAAATCATAAATTTGAAAGTCAAATTGAATTATTATTATATATAATACATATAATTATGGTAATAGTGATTTACATCTGCTCAATGAACGAATCATAGCCAAATGCAAAATTACATTCAATGCTAGGTTCATAAAATAAACCTTAGGCTCTTTGCAAAAGTCAAAAATGTTAAAATAAAATAGCTGTAAAAGAAGAATAAATTGTAAAACGTTAAAAAGCTGCCACATCTTAACTATCATAGAGAAACATATTTTGTAAATTAGTAAAAAGTGATTTTGAAAAAACGGTATATTGTCCAAATGTCCATCGACACTCAGTAAAAAAAACTTGAAACTAAATTGCAATAATATGTACAACATTTTAATACATAAATTGTGATGAAATTGGTTACAAATACTTTAATTTATGCTTTAATTATAAAATGATATTTTTTTCAATAATAATAAATGTAAATGACGTAAAAATGAAATGTTCTTTTTTTATATTTTTCTATTTTTTTAACATTTAGTCATGCAACGCCTTATAAAATCCTTATGGTAATCATCATGCTCTTCATCTACCAGTAATTTGTAAATGCACTTTATCATGCTTCGTGAGATTCCACATTTATACAGCATGAGAGTTGTAATGAATGTAGCACTTAATCAAGAATGTATCCGTCTCACAGCACACCCTGGTTAACATCAATGTAATACTTCAAATTCTCCACAAACACCTTGTTGTTGTTAACGTCCAGAAACCGCTTACATGCAGGCATCAAGTCACGAAACAAAACTTTGTTTTCCTCAGAACTGACCGAATCATGAGACAAGTCTTTTACAAATTATGCAGTCAGCTGTGTTAAAAAATATAGACTGTATTCCTCAGAATTATGAAGGTAGGAAACCACTGTTTGTACTATTCTTGAGGACGTCAAATCGACAATATCAGTATGGTTAGATGCTCCAAAGTCTGAAGAGCTGAATTTTGACATTCCTGTTTTGATGATCTCAGGATATTTTCCGACCATACTCCATGTTGCCCTGAGAGTATCAACATATATTTCATTACAAATTTCTAAAATCTCAAAGTCCTCTTTGCAACTCAATGGGTCCGATGAAAAGAACGCCTTTTGCTCAGATGTTCTGAACAGAAACCAGTGACATAAAACGTAATCAGCAACAACAGTGACAAAAAATGCCGATCAATTTCATCCAAAACAAAAGCAGCAGCTTTTGTAAATATGACCACGATTTCTTTGTGCAATGCATGGTTAACAGAATCGTACTGATTTAAAAAATATTTGAAACTATTTTCCTTATTCGATAAAATTGGCAGATACTCAACAAACTTTTTCAAAACCGTTTTGTTGTCAGACATGTACGCCGAAATTCTAATAATCTTCACAATTCCAAAAAGTAAGCTTGGTTTTTCAATCAGGCTTATAGCCCTACTAATACCACAAACAAGATCACATTTTTGCAGAGCATTTAGCTGCGCATAAATGGGATGAATCTTGTTACTTCTGAAGTTGTCTAGATGATAAAACAGTAATATTATGGTATGAATCAGCATCTCTTTCGAATTTTCGGGAAACTGGCTGTCAGGAGACTTCAGGGCATCAATGATTACTGGTATGCAGGGGATGAATTGATCTATGTCTCTAATAGATGGAAGTTTTTCCTTAAGATGGTTTGGCAAAAGGCAATATGACAGGAGTTCCCAAATAGAGTTCTCAATTTGATAGTCTTTGCCCCGATAATCTTTGGCATTCTGGACCAATATGGGAATAAGATTTAAATCTTTCAATTGATTGAAGTGATCCTCTTTAAGCAAAGGGTGGACAAAAACTATATGGTTTATAAGGTATAACGAGTCACCAAATGAATCAGCACGGAGAGCTAAATGCTTTCCAGGGTCTATGAGATCAGGCAAGTAAGGAACAACAACACGAACATCAGCGATAGTGAGGAATGTTTCCAGTTGACCAAGCAGAGTCAGGGTTTTCAGAAGGAAGGACACTCTGCTGTAGTCAATATCTTTGCCATGTAGCTCAGAAATCAGGACAGCAAAAAGCTTCTTGTGGAGCTTTTGCTTCACATAGAATTTAATAGCACTCTCATCACTTGCAGTATTAACATGAAAAATTATATTATCTAATGCCAACTGAAATGATGATGTATCCTTTGAGAAGACTTTACCTATCTTGGTTCTAGAATCAGAGACAGTGAGAGTGATATCAGGGTTAGGAAAGGAAGAGCATGGGGAGCATGCCACACTCTCAAAAAACTTTGGAAATCTAACCTTAGAAAGTCTATCAAAACCAGAGTGTTCACAGCACTAGTCGAGTCGGTGCTTCTATACGGTTCTGAGACTTGGACTATGACGAAAAGGCTAGAGAAGATGGTTGATTGTTGCTATACACGAATGTTAAGAATGGCCCTTAACATCAATCAATATCGAGACCATGTCAGCAACCACAGTCTGTACGGTGATCTTCCCAAAGTCAGCTCCAAGATAACCCAACGAAGGCTCAGACTTGCAGGTCATGCTCACCGACATCCGGAGCTGACACTGAACAAACTGATCCTCTGGAAGCCGAGTCATGGACATACTAACAGGGGGCGACCTTACTTAACACTACTAGATAACCTAAAAGCAGATACTGGGCTGAAATCAGTAGATGAGATAGCTAGACTGATGGAGGACAGAAAGCTGTGGAGAACTGTTGTCAATGGATCTCGGGAATACTACCCGCCTTAAGTCAAGTAAGTCATCCTTTGAGACCATGGCAAAATATTTTAAGAAAATCCTATTCATCATTAGAAATTCTTTATCGAGCCCATGGTTTAGACTATTATAAACAGAATTACAGTCACAATGGACAATGCGAGTGAAAGCATGGATCATACTGTACAAATTATCCTCTTCAAAATGTTCATTCGAGCAAGACAAGTGCATAGACATTTTCAAAAATTTATAAACTGTTCCATTTTTAATGTGTGATCTTACAATAGACTTGTAGTATCCTTTTTCACCGTTTATCAAATACATGGAGTAAGTTGAAGTCAAAAGGGGCTGTATCTTTTTGATAACAGCTCTATCACATACATCAGCAAAACTAAACAAAATTGGAATATTAGAAAATATATCCCCTTTTCGTGCAATGCTCCGTTCCCGGCAAATTTTCGATTGGCAGTCCATGTTTACAAACACGCATAGGATGAATAGTATGTATTGACGGCTTAAGTCATCATCTATTTTTGGTAGCACTTTCAAGATTACCTCTATGACACCATTTTCAATAAAACAATGATGAACCTCCTGGCCCATCAATCTACCATTCGTTTGATAAGATATGACATATAGCATAAACAAGAATTGCACCCGTTGTTTCGTTTTGGCGGACGCTAGATTTCCATTTCACTATAACTATTAATATAAGCTCTAAAGGCCTCCCCCAGCCTCGGATCTTAGGATTGGATTTGCAAATATTCCTAAGACAAACTGCTTAAGAAAAGCTAAGACAGCAAAAAAAGCTGAGACAAAATTTAAGCGAACCTGAGATGTCAAAATAAGCTAAGACAGCGAAAATTCTTAAGACAAAATTTAAGGAAACCTAAGACAGCGGAAAATCCTGAGACAAAATTTAAGGAAACCCAAGACAGCGAAAAATCCTAAGACAAAATTTAGGAAATCCTGAGACAGCGAAAAATCCTGAGACAAAATTTAAGAAATCCCGAGACAGCGAAAAAACCTGAGACAAAATTTAAGAAATCCCGAGACAGCGAAAAAACCTAAGACAAAATTTAAGAATCCTGAGACGCGCGAAAAAACCTGAGACAAAATTTAAGAAATCCCGAGACAGCGAAAAATCCTGAGACAAAATTTAAGAAAACCTGAGACAGCGAAAAATCCTGAGACAAAATTTAGGAAAACCTGAGACAGCGAAAAATCTTTAGATACAATTTATACAATAACAACAAGAATATACATGGATATTACATCTTTTAATTTCTTGCAAAGAATATAATAAATACAATATTACTAGGTATAGTAGGAATGTCAATAAGTCAATAGAATTTGTTTGAAATCTCTATGTGCCTGCTAATGAAGTGAGTATCCCAGATCATATCTTTACAGGTAGGACTGTATAATGGGGGCCCGATGTTATAGCGGACATCATCCCCCCCCCCCTTACCCCTTCTTACCCCCAGTTCCATAGCGGATATTATGCCAAATTATTGGACGGAGATCGTCAACTAATATTTCTTCGGATATTTCTCCGGTTTGCAGTTCCATAACCTTATCCGGAAACCATCTACGGTAATTTTGTTGATTCTCACAGAGCAAAGTGCAAAGAAACTGCCGCAAACTGCTACAATCTCCGAGAAATCTATTTATTGACTAGCTTGCTAAAATTCATCGTCAAATTACCGCTGCTCGAGTTACCTAGCCAGGCCCATTTCAGTTTTGAGTACTAGAGTCGGTTATCTAGTCAAAGCCTAGCTTTTTTGTAACTTGCAAGTGCTTTTGCGGATTGTCGTGGATTTCGGCAAATAGTCGTGGATTTCGGCGATATTTTCAGATTATTCTTCAATGTCCTCAAACCTGAGCACTGGGACTACTTAAGTTTTTGCTACTATCTGAATTATTTGCTCAAGCTACTGGCTCGCTAGGTTCAAAGGTTTATTTCCTATTTATCATGAAAAAAAAAATTGTGCTGGGTAAAAGTTTACACGGTGTTCACGCAGGTTTGAACTCCCGACCTCGCGCAGAGCTAGCCGATCGCCTGGCCGCCAAGCTACTCGGGTGATGTACTTATGAAATTTTTGATGTAATTATATATTTACCCCTTTTTACCCCCAGTTCCATAGCGGATATTATGCCAAATTATTGGACGGAGATCGTCAACTAATATTTCTTCGGATATTTCTCCGGTTTGCAGTTCCATAACCTTATCCGGAGACCATCTACGGTAATTTTGTTGACTCTCACAGAGCAAAGTGCAAAGAAACTGCCACAAACTGCTACAATCTCCGAGAAATTCCCGGAGAGCTTCATCTCCGTATAACTGTATAATACAGTAGACGGAGCCGGAGAATCATCACCGTAGAAATGGACCTCCGTCTCATAATTTGGCATAATATCCGCTATGGAACTGGGGGGTTAATCTGATTAAAAGCTACAAAAAATTCCAGAAATGAGATGGCTGGTTAAAACCTACCTTTGGAAAGCTCTGATGAACCTGCCTGTGGAGAAATAAACGCACTTAACTTCACCTCAATTGAGCAATAACTATTTATCGCTTATTACTTCATTTATTTAGGATGTATAGTGTGCTTCGTAACTAATTTATTATTACAAAGTTTACTTTCTAATAAGCTAAAACGACAACTAATCTTTCGTTTTACTCCCTACTGTACTGGTTTACTCGTCAATCCAGGTATATGAGAATGTGTGAGAATGGTCTTGAAACTATGAAAAGAGGGAATTAGCGGTTTTGGGGACGGGAAGATTACAGCATCAAAAACGGGTAGGATGTAGGAGCCTAGGAGGGTAATTATAATAATAAAGGTACTGGGGGATTGAACAACTTACTTACTTTCGGCGATCCTCGATCGAACTCCCATTCACTGTCTGCCTCCACACGTCTTGATCGCACATAACAGTTCGAAGGTCGTCCAACTGGAGCCCAGTGTCACGAGCTACTACGTCCAGGAAGGTGAGTGGTCTCCTTCCACAGTTCCACGGCCGGACTGGGTAAGTCGCCAGGGGAGGATAGAGGAGATAACTTGGTCAGAAGCTCTCATGCAGTGCCCAGCAAATCTGTTACGCCTAACCCCCATGTTATTATACTGAGATCAATTGACTCAGTGTAATTGCATGGGGGGTCAATTGTAAGCCGGGGGGCCACCTGCTTCAATCTCCCCGTCCCCAAAACTGCTTCCCTCTTTTCAGAGTTTCAAGACCATTCTCACACATTCTCATATACCTGGATTGACGAGTAAACCTGTACAGTAGGGAGTAAAACGAAAGATTAGTTGTCGTTTTAGCTTATTAGAAAGTAAACTTTGTAATAATAAATTAGTTACGAAGCACACTGTACATCCAAAATAAATGAAGTAATAAGCGATAAATAGTTATTGCTCAATTGAGGTGAAGTTAAGTGCGTTTATTTCTCCACAGGCAGGTTCATCAGAGCTTTCCAAAGGTAGGTTTTAACCAGCCATCTCATTTCTGGAATTTTTTGTAGCTTTTAATCAGATTAACCCCCCAGTTCCATAGCGGATATTATGCCAAATTATTAGACGGAGGTCCATTTCTACGGTGATGATTCTCCGGCTCCGTCTACTGTATTATACAGTTATACGGAGATGAAGCTCTCCGGGAATTTCTCGGAGATTGTAGCAGTTTGTGGCAGTTTCTTTGCACTTTGCTCTGTGAGAATCAACAAAATTACCGTAGATGGTCTCCGGATAAGGTTATGGAACTGCAAACCGGAGAAATATCCGAAGAAATATTAGTTGACGATCTCCGTCCAATAATTTGGCATAATATCCGCTATGGAACTGGGGGTAAAAAGGGGTAAATATATAATTACATCAAAAATTTCATAAGTACATCACCCGAGTAGCTTGGCGGCCAGGCGATCGGCTAGCTCTGCGCGAGGTTGGGAGTTCAAACCTGCGTGAACACCGTGTAAACTTTTACCCAGCACAATTTTTTTTTTCATGATAAATAGGAAATAAACCTTTGAACCTAGCGAGCCAGTAGCTTGAGCAAATCATTCAGATAGTAGCAAAAACTTAAGTAGTCCCAGTGCTCAGGTTTGAGGACATTGAAGAATAATCTGAAAATACCGCCGAAATCCACGACTATTTGCCGAAATCCACGACAATCCGCAAAAGCACTTGCAAGTTACAAAAAAGCTAGGCTTTGACTAGATAACCGACTCTAGTACTCAAAACTGAAATGGGCCTGGCTAGGTAACTCGAGCAGCGGTAATTTGACGATGAATTTTAGCAAGCTAGTCAATAAATAGATTTCTCGGAGATTGTAGCAGTTTGCGGCAGTTTCTTTGCACTTTGCTCTGTGAGAATCAACAAAATTACCGTAGATGGTCTCCGGATAAGGTTATGGAACTGCAAACCGGAGAAATATCCGAAGAAATATTAGTTGACGATCTCCGTCCAATAATTTGGCATAATATCCGCTATGGAACTGGGGGTAAGAAGGGGTAAGGGGGGGGGGGGGGGGGGGGAGATGATGTCCGCTATAAAGCTATAACATCGGGCCCCCATTATACAGTCCTACCTGTAAAGATATGATCTGGGATACTCACTTCATTAGCAGGCACATAAGAGGTTTCAGACAAATTCTATTGACTTATTGACATTCCTACTATACCTAGTAATATTGTATTTATTATATTCTTTGCAAGAAATTAAAAGATGTAATATCCATGTATATATTCTTGTGGCTATTGTATAAATTGTATCTAAAATTTTTTCGCTGTCTCAGGTTTTCTTAAATTTTGTCTCAGGATTTTTCGCTGTCTCAGGTTTTCTTAAATTTTGTCTCAGGATTTTTCGCTGTCTCGGGATTTCTTAAATTTTGTCTCAGGTTTTTTCGCGCGTCTCAGGATTCTTAAATTTTGTCTTAGGTTTTTTCGCTGTCTCGGGATTTCTTAAATTTTGTCTCAGGTTTTTTCGCTGTCTCGGGATTTCTTAAATTTTGTCTCAGGTTTTTTCGCTGTCTCGGGATTTCTTAAATTTTGTCTCAGGATTTTTCGCTGTCTCAGGATTTCTTAAATTTTGTCTTAGGATTATTCTGCTGTCTTAGGATTATTCTGCTGTCTTAACTTTTGCACCTGTGTCTCAGGAATTTTTGCAAATCTAATCCTAAGATCCGAGGCTGGGGGAGGCCTCTCTAATCAGCTCACCTTATAATAATCATATTGAAACATCAGTAGACTACGCGTGCCACATTCAAGTTGGGCTTATTACAAAATACTATACATTACTAGTATACATTAAAATACGCTAGTGCCGCGCATTCATTGACCACATACTAGCTATACACCACATCTCCGCAAGCAATCCCCGTGCGCGTGCGCGCGGCAAGTTGACATGGAAACGAACGGAAGCAAGTAAGGAACACGACATATATTTGACCCACCTACCGCTATTTCCAAAATCCACATTTTTCTGCAAAAACGTCCATTCGTAACCTTTCACTATTGCCTTTTTTCAAAAGGGTGAAAAGGAAAAAATATGTAGAGGGTATGCGGACCTCCTCTGTCAGATTCGTCCTTGAAAAGCCTTATTATTGTTGAGACAGACTGCATGTCTTGAGACAGCACCTTTAGAACTTCTGAAATCAAAATGATCAATATGAGCTTGACCAAAGTGTTAGTCAACGAGTGGTATTCAAGTATTCAGATACTTTGCAATAATATATTATTACATTGTAATTTGCATGCTGTTCTAACTTATAATAATAGATAAAGAATCTATGAAGATTTAATCTGATGATTCAAAATTGGTTCATTAAACAAACCATTTTGTTCCATACTGAAATTACTGATGCAAAGATCCTCAATTGGAGGGCTCCCTTCATTGACGGTATCAAAAATGTCCATTAATGCTTCTATTTTGAAGCAGTCGCCTTCTGCATAGTTGAACCGGGATATTGCCCTCTGTAACTTCTCCATGCCAATAAAGCGGCTAGATGTTTTTCCACAGATTGATGAGATTGTAATTCAGAATTCGTGACATCTGGTTCAAATAAATACGATTAATTAATTATTAATGATTTAATGCCAATTACTCATACTAGAAGCATAAACTTAATATTATCATAATAAATATAACTTACAGATTATGGTAAGAGCAGGATTGGAGCATGACAACTATTTTTAAGTTTACTAGGCTGAACGTCAATAAATTCAAATAAATACATTTTTCGAATAAAGTTTTAATTAGGACTTAATATAATAATTCAAATTTCATACATTTTCATTCTAATTAATTCTATCAGATTATTACAACTTCACAAAGCTACGTTACATTATATAATATACTTCAAAATTCACGTACTTGGACCCATGCAAATCTATTGCTTCAAATTATGTACAAACTTATGATTAATTCTACACTTATGATTAATTCTACATGAGCATTGAGCATAGGATAAAATCTCTTATCACACTTCGGGCAGTTTAAAAACATCTTCAATTTGTATGAACTTATAAAATTCTTGACCTCAGTAATTTCTCCACTGGAAAATTTCAGTGACACAATATTTTTTCGAAATTTGAACGTCCGAGAATCATCACAATCCAGTTGTAAGTAATCTAAAAGTAATTTAAATAATTAAGAAAAATGATTTACATTATGTGCTTTAAATTGCAGTTACAGTATCAGATCAAACCCATTCACACAAAAGCAAAACAACTAACTTTCATCATGATGATAGGAAAAATTATTTAACAGTGTTCGTTCATATTATTATATTATTATTTCATTCATTAGATTTAAAACATCGATAAGATTTAGTCGATGTATCTATATTCTTTAACTCTTTAATACTCGAAAGAAGCTAAGGAAGAAATAAAAAATAACAGATTATGAATTTATGACGCCACTAGCGTTCTTGGATCATCTCGTGATTCTGAAAATAAAGCTATTAAAGGATGGATAATATTATTATGTAGGTACTTGCCAATTACCTCTTCAAAATTATCAATTTACAGAAGAATATTCATATTTCTCACTAAGTCTAGTAAAAAACCGATCGAGATTGTGCATTACATAAATAATTATTAATATACTATAATTATAACTCACTAGTTTTCTCAAGTTCATGTGTTGGAGCCACAGGAAGGTCCATGTCCGACACTGGTACATCAGGCAACTCCTGTTCAGCCTGGGAGAAGACCAGTGTGAAGCGAACCCATTTTAAAATTCGAGGGACTATCAAATTTAACACTTTTCGAAAACTTGGTTTTCACTGTCTCAAAACATACAAAAACTTTAAGAAGAATGAAGTTTGGTCAGATTCAGGACATGAACTAATTGTCACCTCATCTCCAAGGAGTTCCCCGAGTTCAGCTAGAAGCTCGTCCTCATCAGGTTGCTCAACACCGGCTCCACCAGCCATCAAATCATCTATTTCCTGGTGGTAAATATTCTATATTAGCAAAGTGTTCGATCCGATATCTAACGAGATACGCACATAATCTATCATTCTTAAGAATTTGATAATCGTACTACTTTAGGTAAATATACTTTTATAGGAGTACAGGGTAAAAAGTTTCCGCCCTCTACACCTAAAAACAATGCTTAATTGTTAAAGTTTTTTTGGGACTTTGTTTGGTCATTATGAAGATACAAGAATCCCATCATTCAACAAGGGTCATGATCATGAATAAACTGAAAATGTCCCACTAACATTTTGGTAAGCGATAGCATCCTCAGTATCTCCCATAATCTTCTCAACGTCATCAAGTGACATGATCTGGTGAAGGGCATCCAAAGCCTCGTTACCTCCCTTCAGTCCCTCTACCACTTGAATCTCTACTTGGGCAAACTCTATGTCTTGTACCTGAGTTTAAAATCAGTTTTACGGGGCACAGGAAGCGATTTTGTTACATGATTGGTTGCATAAGTTTACATTGCGGGGAATTCAATAAATTTGGAAAAGTGAAGATTAACAGCTTGCAGATTGCGGAAGAAGTACACTGTACTATATTTTGGTAACTAACCAACTTATCGAGGTTATCGAGCTGAACGTCAGTTTTATCAAGGAGTGAATCTTGGAACTTCTTTTTCTTTAGTAACCTCAGCGCCTTGCTGAGGGGTGAAATTGGATTAGTACTTTTAAGTAGATTGATTGTAGATACAAATAAAATTAAATTTATGAGATTCAATTATTCAGTTTATCTAAGATAAAATCAAGGATTAATAATTAATATCGATATTATTCCAATCACAATCTATCCCGATCAGACGATTTACAATAATCAGATAACTGACTTACTCTTTTCTCCCCTGATCGAGTAATTGTTTAGCCAGGATCCTCTCCTTAGCCTGATTCACCACAATCTTCTTCTGATACTGCTTCAGTTTATCTCTCGTCTGTTTCAACTTTAGAACAGCTTTGTCTTGTTCTGTTATCCGCGAGACTGGTTTCTTTTTTGCGAATAGTTGTCCCATGATGACAGCTCCCTCTTGTTACAGCGGCAGAATATGTCGGTTTGTTGGAAGGTTTTGAGAAGAAGTCTGATCTAATTATGAGTGTAGAAGTGTAAGGTCGATCGTAACTACGTCATAACCTAGATAAGTAGACCCGATCAGCCTCAATCATAATGACAGAATTACACACTCCCTATCTCAAGATATTATCATAATATGTTTTCAAGTCAAAAATGGTAAACATTGGTTGTTTGACTTAATATGATAAGATAATTTAATAATTATTTTGTATAATAGCAAGGCGTAGTGTAACTGAAAATAAAATAGATTTATGGTAATTTTAGATAAGGAGTCAAGACATAGACTTATAGACAGATGAACATGAAATAATACACTATGTAAATTATTTGAATTTCTGAAATCAAATTTCAATCATAAAACCATAAGTATAAATTCTACATAAAGCACAAGGTGACGTCAAACATTTGTACAAACTGAATCAAAGTTCTTAAAACTTGCAGCCTATCTAACATAACATGCTAAAGCTCACTAAAAAACCCTCAATCCTGTTTCCTGACAGCAGCAGCCCCATATCTCAGTTCCTTCTCCCACTGTTCCGATGTAAAAGTCCCATCTAACCTCTCCATATTACTATTAAACACAGAGTAAGCACTGAGCTCCCTCGGGCCCCTCTTATACTCCTCCATGCTCTGCCACACGAACACTGGTATCGACACCAGGAAGAAAACACTCCCAAACTCGTGGTGAGCGAAGAAGAGGAGGAGGGAGACCCAGAGGGTGAGCTTCAGGAGGGGGATGGTGAGAGGGTGGTTAATGAATCTGTCGAGGTCGGATGGGGTGGTCATGGTGGTAAAGGTGGGATCTGATGGGATGGGTTGGTTGTTTTCTGGGGGAGTTGGTTTGGATTGAGCTACTTTCTTTTGTTTCCGTAGTTCTTGTTTCCGCTTGTATTCTCGGTAACGGGCGAGATGAGGCGGGATTTCTTCGTTGTCACTTGAATCACTCATTTCGTAAACTGGTAGGAACTGTGATGCTGATGGTAACCCTGATGGATTTCACGGTACCATCTGTTTGCTTTCCAGTTTCACACCATCTAGCTAGCTGAATGCAAAACCTTTTGAATTAAATGAACACATATTTATTTATTTTGATAAAGGTTATGAAAATCACAGGAAGTTACCATTTTATCAGGTTTTGAAATTAACGGGTCCAAAAATAATTAACCATTTATAATTATTCACATATTATTGTCTTGAAATCAATAGTGATTTTCCTAATTTAAAATTCAATGGATAATTTAAATGGATTTATACACGAAATTTTACTGATGTAACAGATACTGTCACCTCTAAAAATTCAGTACACTGGGATCAACTGTCATGCCTGGATGTCCCAACTTGGATGCAGCCAATTTGCACGCCAACGCTACAGACTCTGGAAGTAATGTCCTGTCTAGATGAGATGCGCAGTAGAGAAACCCTGCAGTAAAACAATCCCCTGCCCCACACGAATCTACAATATCATCAACTTTATGAGCATCACAAGTAAAAGTATGATCGTCTATTTTTTGTAACTTATCATTACTGAAGGTGAGTTCTGAGATCCCGTCAGCAAGCCACATTCCTGTCCCTTTATCTCCCCAAGTAACAACAAGAGCATGGGAACAATGTTTAGAGAGACCTGCCAGTGCTGCTTGTAAATCACTGAAACCTTGAATTTTGCAAACTTCCTTGCTGATGATTGGAAAGTCTACAATACCAAGCATATCTTTCAACCCTTCCCTGACTTTCTCAATGTCAATAGATAACACAACATCAGGTCGCAGCCGCTTGATTTCCTTAGCTATTTTCAGAACCTCTAGTCCATTCCTCCTGTGTTCCAAATGGATCCACTGATACTTACTAAGATCACTTACAGCAGAGAAAACTTCCTCACAATTCAGATCATTACAATTCCCCCTAAAGTGCAGACATGTCCTGGATCCAGTTTCATTGGAGTGTAACACTACCGACTCAGGAATGTCCATATCCTGTTCCACCACAGCCAACAGTCTCACAGTAGCTGTACTCTCCAGGGAAGACTTGGTGTATTTGCTGAACTCACAAGAGCCCAACTTAACACAACAATCAACATAACAGTCCTTTAACTGGGCTAACACTTGTGCAATGTTTCCAGCATTCCCCCCGATACGGGTCTCTTTGGACAGAGCTTTTACTTTTCTGTCCTCAGCTGGGTAGGAGTCGGTGGAGTAGATGATGTCTTTACAGATGTTACCGACTATCAGTATCTTAGGTGTCATGATGAGCTTTATGTGTACGAAGTGAGATTAGTGGATAAGCAGACGGCTTTTTAAGTTCGAAAAATAATTTTATTATTTTCATGCTGTTAGTTGGATACTTCACTTTGTTCCATGCTCGTGGTTCAAAACATTGTCGTACAATGCTGATCGGTAGTTCCATGTTTTGCTTGAAATTGAAGTTTAAATGGAAAATTGAATTTTTTATATTCGAAATTACCATGCAGCAGTGGACTCTTAAAGAATACAAAGTTTTATTTTGATCAACTCAAACAATCATTTTCAAAATGTTTATGTTCAGTTTATTTGACAAATGAATAAATAAGTACAGTAAATATAATTATGATGACATTATATTAAACAATCGGAGATCAAATATTCCATCCTCAAACTGGTAAGAAATCAAATAACGTCATCGTGCTACAGTAACTGACGCCCGCATCATGATATAAAATTAATTCCATTTTCGCTTTAATCCAATCAATTTTGATGTGGCTTGAACAACGCACGTGTTATATTTCTTATCTCATTTGTATCTCTGGTAGCTGCTAAAAGCGACAAATGCAGTCATCTGAAAGTTTGCTTATTGGCAACACACCAACATTTCCCACCACAAATACAAATCAGTCTGGTTTTTAGCCCATACAAAAACTCTCTATTTCTTTTTTGACAAAGTGACAGCGATAACGTTAATTATCAAGTTTCAAAATTTCTCGTTAATTTCCTCTTCACTTCTTCTTCCTGGGAGATCTCCGGTTGTTTCTGTTTTCGTTGCTCGGACCCTGTACCACGTGCATCTCACCCCCTCTAATATCCTCTTTCATCGGACTACTGTTTATCGTGGCCTGGCTCTGTGGGAAGGGTTTCAATTTAAAGGTTATAATATTCAAGCTTGCTATTTCACAATTTCAGAACAGTTAAACCTCTTCCTTTAACATTTAACAAGAAACGTTAAAAAACGATATCTCAACTAAGCTTAATATAATAAAGTTAACAGTAACCTGTAAATGGAACATGAGATCTTTGATTTGTTCCCTCAGTTCCTGTGTCTCAGCAGCGTGTCTCTCTTGAGAAGCTTGCAGTTCACTGTTACTTGCCACCACCTTTGTTATCCACTCCTTCTGGTTCGCCTAAATAATGTGGGATTGGATTTGAGGAAAACCAACTATCACAAAATGGGCTTCAACATATAACAATCCAACATCAGGTGACTAGAAATTCCTAACACCACGTCAAGATTTAAGGATTTAATGCCACAAAGAAACCGTACCTGTAAACACTTATTAAGTTCCATCTCCTCGCTCAACTCTTTTGACAGAGTGTTAAACTTGTTAGACAGCAGATCAATCCTCTTCTCAAACCTCCTCCTCTCCTCCTCACTTTTCTTCTCCAGTCTCTTCCTCTCTATCTCACTTTGCTCGTACAGTTCTTTGTACTTGTCCTTTTCCTGTGTTACTTTTTGTACCTGAATGGTGGAAAGTAGGACCTTTGTGGAAGGATTAAGACAAAGAGGTTCCTCTGTATAATATTACCAGCCTAAAATTAATGTTATGGTGCAAACTCCAGGGAAAATAGAAATCTACACACCTCGCCCTCCACGATAGCTATGCGCTCCATAGCCTCCTGTTCAACAAACAGAAGTTTCTTCTCGAAGAATTCCCGCTGTGACTCCAGCTGCTGGGTCAGGAGGTAACTGTACTCCAGGGTTAGAGATTCAAACTTCTCTTCTAGTATCCCATCTGAAATTGACATTGTCGGGGGAATTCAGATAGTCATAGTTGTGATGACTGTAAAAGGAAGGAAAGATCAGATTCATGATAATGCGCACAATATTTGTCAAATAATTCCCACTATCTAACCTTGGTCTTGAACAGCAACTAATTTGCCATCGGCTTTGTTTTGGATGAGTCTGTGCACGTAATTATCTCCAACATAATCCCAGACACACCTCTGTTCCACATCCATACTGTATGTGTGATTAGTCCTCTCGAAGTGCCCTCTGGCGTGGCCCCCTTCGTACCTACATAATAATACATTCTTAGACTTGAAGTAGAAACCAATGTTTCACGATCTATAATTTGAGTAGCAAACTGCACTCAAATATTGTGACTCTGCGAATCTCGAATCAGTTTCGTTAAACATGGTGTCATTTGGAGGTTAAGAATAAAACAGGCATTTGCAAATGTGAGACTCAACAAGTGAGACTCAACAAGTGAGATTCAACAAGTAAGACTCAACAAGTGAGACTCAACAAGTGAGATTCAACAAGTAAGACTCAACAAGTGAGACTCAACAAGTGAGATTCAACAAGTAAGACTCAACAAGTGAGACTCAACAAGTGAGATTCAACAAGTAAGACTCAACAAGTGAGACCCAACAAGTGAGACCCAACAAGTGAGACCCAACAAGTGAGACCCAACAAGTGAGACCCAACAAGTGAGACCCAACAAGTGAGACTCAACAAGTGAGACCCAACAAGTGAGACACAACAAGTGAGACCCAACAAGTGAGACCCAACAAGTGAGACCCAACAAGTGAGACCCAACAAGTGAGACCCAACAAGTGAGACCCAACAAGTGAGACTCAACAAGTGAGACCCAACAAGTGAGACTCAACAAGTGAGACTCAACAAATGAGACTCAACAGGTGAGACCCAACAAATGAGACTCAACAAGTGAGACTCAACAAATGAGACCCAACAAGTGAGACTCAACAAGTGAGACTCAATAAGTGAGACTCAACAAGTGAGACTCTTGAACAAGCTCTCGAAACGATCACGTTACATTCTAATAAGTAAGAAATTAAGATAATTGTGCGTTACAATGTAAGCGCAATGGCTGCAATGCAATAAGAGTATTGATCATGTACAATGTGCTAGTCTCTTGTTACAGTTGCTGATGGATGAGCTGATACCGGAACGAGGAAAAGCACTGGTTTAAAAAGATAAGATAAGCAGGCACTAATTGAGTAATTAATTAAGTAGAACCACTAGGCTTGCACTGCCGGCTGAGTTACCACAGAGAGACAATTTGTTAAATATGACAATAACGCTCAAAACCGCGTGACAAGAACAGATCTACAAATTATATTCACGGCGAGATTACGTATTGCACACGAGACAATGACTAGTATTAATACAGTGCTTGCTTATTAATCTATTAATGAGTAAAAGCGCACACTGCACTGTTGTTCTCCGTGATAAACGTAAATCGTGGGAGAATAGTTGGCTCTTACCTGCCGCAGCCTACATATCCACATATCAGACATAGCCATAGCCCCTCTGTATTCCCACATACCTGGGGAGAGATGGGTTATTACGGGGATTCCAGCATTTTGTTATTTATCATAAGATAAAGTTCGGTTTTAGAACGTGACAACAGAAAACTAAAAACTGTAACTTGTTGGATAAGCATAACATTAACATTGAGGTATTGAAATCAACATAATGTGATTTGAATAAAACTACATCAGTTCAATTCGCAGTCTTTGATTAGTTTCATAACTGGAGTTTCAAATTACAAATATTTCAGATTAGTTGACAAATACGCCAATATTGATGTCTGAGTTTCGAGGCTGAGTGTAAGCGTTAAAAAGGTAGCAGCTCATCGAGAGGGAAAGCTAATTTTATGATGAATATTAATAAATTGTTTAAAGGTAGCTCCTGTTGAGCGGATTTAGCTGGAACTAGTCCAGGGCAAATTCTCCACACCCCCCCCCCCCCCCCTCACAAGTAATACTAACCATGCAGGAGTGAGAAGACTCCTCGGGCGGGACAGCGTGGAATCTGCAAACTGGACATGTAGTACACTTGCTCATACACTCACAATGGAAAGTGTGGTTACACAAAACTGTCAGCATTCCTGTCGTGCTTTCGTCTGAGGGGGAGGATATGATAGATAACACAACACAAGAGTACTGGCAATAACGCAACACAAGAGTACTGGCAATAACACAACACAAGAGTACTGGCAATAACACAACACAAGAGTACTGGCAATAACACAACACAAGAGTACTGGCAATAACACAACACAAGAGTACTGGCAATAACACAACACAAGAGTACTGGCAATAACACAACACAAGAGTACTGGCAATAACACAACACAAGAGTACTGGCAATAACACAACACAAGAGTACTGGCAATAACACAACACAAGAGTACTGGTAATAACACAACACAAGAGTACTGGCAATAACACAACACAAGAGTACTGGCACAGATTAAAGAAATACAGTGATATATATGTGTGTACGTTTTGATTAATTATGCAAGAAATATTGAAATAGCAGTTAATACCGACAAATTGTTCTAAATTCCTTGATTAGTTAAATAATAATTACTGACAAACCCATTCGTTCCAGACAGACAGCACATTGAGGTAGCTCTATCAGAGGTCCAGCTGCAAGGGATTTCATGTGCACCTAATGAGATAGAGATTTCCAGCTAGACTCACTACAATAATCTTCAATAATCCGTAAAATGGTTCTAGAGTCTAGGTATGAAATTCCATTTGAAGCTTGTGTGATTGAAAACACGTTGTACTGTATAATGTGCAGAGCAAATCATAAGTCCTGACAGTTAAGAATACAACGTAGTTAATAAATTACAATACTAAACTTTAAATGAAATTCAGAAGAAATATCCTTGATTTGGATTCCTAACCTGTTAAAGGATTATTATAGTAATTTAAGTTTGTAACTACCTCTGTCTTGCCAAACTCAATGGAAGTTACAAAAGCGAGGTGGCAGATACTGTCTTCCAGTGTGTTGTACGGCTGATCTTGATGGTTCTGATAAAAACCTTCTGCCATATCCTCGTGCTCAAACCGAATGAGCACCTGTAATATTGTAATTCTATACAACTCAGCTCATCCTTAAATCAAGCCCTGGTCTTGAACACATCACAATGTCAACTTAGAAAACATGACACTGTTCATGTTTAAACACAGTTTGAGATTAACAATAATGAAAGAAGGTAGTTAAGGTTAAAAACCATGAATGTGTGGGGATTTCTGTCCCGCACTATCCTAATTCCATTGATGTTGTCTGTGTATGGCCCCAGGAACCCCAGTATGTCAGTCAAGTTGAAGATGGTGGGAACAGCCAACATGCATACCAGATCTGTCTTGAAGTTTTCTCCAGCTGTAAAATTTAGGTCTAGCTATAATTTGAAATGAATACACGAAATAGAACTTATTTGAGGTGAGAGACATGAAATATAGATATTAAATCAAAGAAAGGATCAATCCGGCCAGTCATAAAGCTCAAAGAAGTTGAAATATTGACTTACATTTGGAAAAGTCATTAAAGAAGTGCATTATTCCATGGGTGGTCTGAGCATCAGGATTACCACAAGTAAAACTACATTTTCCTTCAACCTCACACTGTTGACTATCAGCTACTGAGGCCATTGATTCAGAAAATTTTCTCTCCAAACTTGGTGCTGATTCCTTGGTTTCATGACTGAGTGGTTCCTTGGTTTCTCTGGAGGGTGCTGGTTCTTTGGTTTCTCGGAAGGGTGCTGGTTCACAAGTTTCACTGTTCATCTTACTAGCAGGACTTTTGAGGTACTCTTTGATTTGATAGTCGTTCAGTTCAAAGACAGTACGTTCTACTTCATCTAAATAACAGCGATTCATCCATTTGGAAAATACAACATCTTTTATGTTGTATGAACAATAAATTTGAAGGTATTTAAGATTTATGTGTGCTGAAATATTGGACAAGTGATATATAGACGCAGTTTTCTTTTAATATAAAACTGTGTTACAAATTGAACTGGGATCTATATGATAGTAATTATTAAACCAAAGTCTTATAAGTATGACACTACCACCAACTTACCTTCAATTGAGAGAACGTGTGAAGGATACTCGCAGAAGTAAATGTAAAGTGCCACTCTCATCCATCAATAATCATGAGTTACATTCTAAATTTTAATATGAAGTTATTGGAGGTAAATCTTATGCAGACTGAAGAGCTAGTCTAACCAAGTGGCAAAACAGCACACATTATCTAGTAAGTAAGTAAAAACTTTGAACTTGATCACAGGTTTCAAAAGAGTGCTAAGTGCACTTTTACAGACTTTGATCTACTATCTATACATCTATAATTGCACATTCAGGAAAGGTTCCGACTTTATAATGGACTGCCATACACAGTTGAAAGAAAATATACAAAAGCATGCTTAAACATACTAAAGAACAATTTTTACTTCTCTGCAGCCTGAAAACAGTAAAGGAAGACTATATCAATCGTAGACTCTAATTGTCATTTTTAAAGGATGGAATTACGTGAGCCAGTGATTATGAAAGAGAAACATTATATTATGTAAAAGAACCCAAAATATTGAATTTGACCAGCTCACATTGATCCAAATCGTGAAATTTGATGGTTGTTAATTGTTAAATAGCGAATAAATGAGAACTGAGGAAATACACTTTTGAAATGTTCTAGTTGATTAATGGGATACCATTTAAGATTTTATATGCCATAGTGTTGAGTTTGAGGGAAACAGTTATTTCCCATTGTAGATCTAGTTGTGCTAAGAAATTTTTGTTATGTTGTTAAATGGAATCCCTTCGAACACAGCAAAAATAAATACAAACAACACCATATCTTATTCATTTAAAGGTCCAAGTGAGCGACAGACGGTGAGGTACAGTTCTTTGACAAATATATCTCGCACAGTTATCTACACACAGTTTTGATAGTAACCGTAGTTTCAAACAATATACACATATAATATAATAATTACGCTATATAAAAATTCAATATAAATTCAATAGTACGCTAAATAAAATTTATAAACACCCTTTAAGTAGTATAAGTAAGCCAGTTTAAAATAATAATAATAATAATTCTATACTGTTACATAATTTAAAAATTATGGCCCCTTATTGTGGGCAGAGTATGTGTCTTTATTTAAGTGTCCTGATTTAAAATCATCTGAGTGACTGCATTGAAATAATTTAAGGAGAGTACCATAAAAACGTTAAAACAAAAGGAGTAACAACTAGAACATACTTATATTAATATCAACATTCCCCCTTTGTCTGGTTCCGGGCAAAAGACCAGGCAGCTTCGATGATACCTGGCATGTGGGTCTGGGTGTGCTGGTGGGCGGTTCTCGGCGTGGTGTGCGCTGAGACTGGGGTGGATGGCTGAAACTGGGTGGCCGCTGGGCTGAGTGATGAAGCTGGTGGTCGAAACGGGAGCAGTCTACATTGAGCACCCAAGTGACGAAAGTCACTAGGTAGCTCGTGGGGACAGCTTCCGGGTCGATAGCCGGCGGCGTTGGCTGGGCTCGGCGTGCTGCTGGGTGCAGGCACTTTGCTCCGGGATCGCATGCATCGTGGCAGGGGGCTTGTCGGCTGGGGCGTCTGTCACACGTGTTGGTACTTATTGATTTAAAGTACAGCGGCAGAGTCAATCCTGAGCACTAGAGCACCACTTATGACTCTGCCCATTTGCTCTGGAGTTACTGCCCAGGACCCAATCCTATCCTATTTCTCTCACCTATAGTGATTGGTAATGGTGCTTTATCCAGAGCGAATGACCTTGCCGTGGTAAGGGGGCTTAATCGGCATCACACGACCAGCCGAGACTAAGCTGTACTGTTCAGCTGAGCAAAACTGAACATAGGTCGCACGTGCCAACCGTCTTCCTTTACCTCATTTGATCCCTTTTTCTTTTGGAGCTCTCACAGCCTTCACTCACATCTGAGCATATAGGGTTTCAGAAGTTCAGGGTGTGTTCTTCAAGGTCGGGCCCTTAATACCGATCATTAGCACCCATTTTCCCTGTTTTATTGGGCGGCATTTCAACACTGTCGTCGTAGTATTTCTCAGCATCTTTCTACGATTCGCAGAAAGTGTTAAAACTCTCACTAATACACTAGGACTACAACACCGGATTACCATTGGAGGAAGCAGGATAGAGCCGGCCTCGTGCGGGAAAAGCGCAATTGCACAGACCTTACAGTCTTGTTGCAAGTGTGCTGGCCTCAACCGAGACTGCGCTCATTCAGCAACCATCAAGGAATCCACCACTATTACCCCTACACTACAACTCTGGCTTTCCAGTGGAGAGTGCTGGATTGAGCCGGCCACGGGGGGATTTAGCGCAATTGCACAGACCTTACAGTCTTGTTGCAAGAGTGCTGGTTCCTACCGAGGCTGTGCTCATCCAGCAATCACCAAGGAATCCTTCACTATAACCCCCATACTACAACACAGGATTTCCAGCAGTGGGTGCGGGAATGAGCGGGCCTTGGGTTGGATTGGCACATTTGCACAGGCTTCACAGTCTTGTTGCGGGAGTGCTTGTCCCTCCCGGGGTTGTGCTCGCCTTGCATCATTTCTGAAACCCATATCATACACTAGCTACAGAATTATTCATCATCTACTTATTATAGCAAGTACAACAATCATGGCTAATGCAAAGAATGATATGGACCATCTGCCCATCACAGGTGAGTCATCAATCTCCACTGAGCTCAAGATCTCTGATCTGCGGCAAACATTAGACATTTTTGCGATCAAAGCACCCTTTTCAGCATTTATGCGCGGGAACGCGCACCTTATCTCCCATACTATTATACACAACAGTTCACTATCTCCGAATTCTTCAGCTGGACTGTCGGGTGACGAGAGTATGACCAAATCGGAGAAGGACGCACTAGATGGCAGCGAGCACCTCTCTGACTACGTCACAATAAGCAAAAAACTGACTGATGGTGCTAGTGTACGATCAAGACATAATAGCACTAGTGTAATATCAGTCAGTTCAGACCACAGTATCCGCACCTCCATCAAGGAACTCACCATGACCACTGCAAACGGTGAACTGAGGGGCGCGAGACGGGAGACGGAAAAGTCAAGGCAGGCGGAGAACAGGAACTCGATGCTGCATCTTGCCCGAATGGCAAACAGTACTCCTGGCTCTCCTCTGCCTGAGCTGAACCTCATCCCTACCGCGACCCACTCAGGCCTGCTAGCCATTATGCCCGAACCCATCGTTGACAGCCCAGAGCTGGGGTTGAAGGTGGAAGTCTCGAAGCCCAATACCCCGTCCAAGGCTGCCTCCAATGGATCTATTCCAAAAGAGGGGGCTAAGGAAGGGGGAAAGGACCAACAGACGAAACCTCAGCCCCAGTCTGGGTCCCATCCGTCCAAAACGAGGAGAGGTAAGGGGAGTAAGGGCAAGAAAGGTAAAAAACCGCCTGGTAACAGTGCGAACACAAAACACCAACAACAACAACAACAACAACAACAACAACAACAACAACAACAACAAGACACTGAACTGGAGAATGAGGAGACTGAGGAGGAGGAGGAGGGTGAACCGCTCCCCGCTCCTGAGGAGATATACAAGAAGGGTGATCCTGTGATCACCCTGACCGTTATCAAAACAGGAGAGGGGACTGATGCGAGCGATCGCATCGCCCAACAACTCTTTCTCGTCCCTCAGACCCTAGTCATTACTTCTCTTGTACCTTTACCTGGTGGTTCGATGATAGAGGTGGCGGACCAGGCGACAGCGGAGGTGGTGACCGATTGCCTCACAAAGGCTGGTTGGGAAGTCACTTCCGAGGCCGTCTGGAACCGCTACGCTTTCTATGTGCCTAACCAGTTATCGGGGATGGGACCCTCTAACATCGGACTAGACCCACACACACTGGTGCGTGGACTCATGTTGCGGAATGCAGCGCATGGTTTACCAAGCGGCTCTCTGCGGCATGTGTCCAACACCTGGGAGACAGTAGCAGTGCAGCTACCTGAAGGTGGGGGCTCGTCGACGGAGTCTAAACAGAGGCAGCGGATCTGGGTGGATGTCTCACCCTCGGATGAGACATTCTTAGAGAAACACAGTTTTCTCCTAGAAACGCTGGTTGCTGCTATTCGTCTTCGGCCGGCCCCCCGACACAGTGCCCGACCCAAAAAGTCCTAGTACTCGTCCGGTGAGGGTATCTGCAGATGCTGCACGCCATGTCCCCAACACCAATACTAATCCAACCCTCACTACCCACCCAAACACCAACAACAAGAACACCAACAAACAACGAAATAAGACACAGAGAGGTGCAAAGCGCCGGAAAACCACCGCTAAAACTACGAAAATAACAGGTAAAAATCATTATGAATATTACTCTGTTACACAAATTAACCTTAAACGCAAGTACAACGCTTGGAAAACCCTGCTGGTGAACACTCACGGCAGGAAAAATCCTATTGTACTTGCGACTGAACCATACACCAATAACAAAAACCTTATCCCACCTATTAGTAAAGAACTAACCGAGTATTACTACAAAGCCGGGGACATTAGACCCCGTGCCGCCATAGTAATACACAAAAACCTAGCTGTAAAAAGCTGGGAACTATCGCAATTCACAACCCCGGATCAAGTAGCCATTAAAATTCAACTTAGCTCATCAGAAGTCATTCTGGCAGCTTCGTACATGGATATTAATGGTCCAGCTCCATCACACGAAACAACACCTCTAGCCAAATATGCTATTGACAACAACATACCGCTTATTATAGGCTCGGACACTAATTCCCAACATACCCTTTGGGGAAACAGGTTGTGCAATAGAAGGGGGGAGGAACTCCTTGATTTCCTCTCGTCGCTAGGGCTCTCCTGCTCCAACAAAGGTTCAACACCAACATTCCTTAACTCACGAGGTCATAATTCCATCATTGACCTCACTATCACCAACCAACAGGGGGCTGAACTGATCAGTAACTGGCACGTTAGTGATCTTTACTCAAACTCCGATCACAGATATATCATGTTCGACATTACTTCTGGTCCCAAAAAAGAACCAAGACAAATACGCCTAGTCAAGAACACTGACTGGGCGAAATTTGACGAGATTCTTTACAACAACAATGATCTCCACAACACATGCGTTAACACACCACACG